TCCCTACACAGGACTCTTTTTCCCTCCCTGAGACAATGTCATTAATTAAGATACATTTCCAAACACAACGTATGAGAGGTTTTTCTATGCAGAGGGTTCCACCACACCCCATGAGAGTTTGCCCAAAGGACAAATCAATTCCGTCCGCTTGCAGTCCCACGGCTGTCGTGAGGGCTAACCCCAAGCCTGCCCTGCACTGCTAACCTCCTCTTCCAGTCTTGCTCCTAGAGTGCAGGAGACAGAGACTGCTCCCACTGACCCACGATTCTGCAGAAAAGTCACTTCAGCTGATATAAAAAGAGCTATTTTTCACTCCCTTGTCCTTGATCTGCTCACCTCCACTTTCTTTGACTCACCATTAGAGGCAAGCGAGTGCTTACAAGCCAACCCTAACCCAAAGCTCTGGAGATGTGAACCCTGTCTCTCAGCAGAATCAACTCACACGTAGCACCAGGCTGATGTGGTTGCACAGCCTGAAGTTCAGAGCTCGCCCACATCCCATCAGCTAAAAACAATAAAAACCTCACTGCGTGCTTAAGAAGAGACCCACCACACAAAACCTCCACTACATGCCATGCCATCAGCAAGAAAACGTGCACGTGCCTTACCTCACTCACTGCCTCTCCAGTAAGCCACATCGATTCACACCGCTGTTGGAGTCCATCTTCTGACATCTGATGAATGTGATCAAACTCGTCCTTGCACTGAAAGAGGTTTTAATAATCAGCCCCACCAGCAAGCATGCTGCCATGTACCCCTGGACACCAGAGTGTAGGATTTTCCGTTTCAACATCTCTCGATCGGAAGGGGGTTTGTAATTGTACTTTATATTTGAAGAGAACATTTCAACCAGAGTTATCACAAATCCTTGTGCAAATCCCCCAGTTGTCCCGGCTGGTACTGGGAATTCTGCGGGTTCATGACTTCTTTTAAAACCTGTGATCTCTTTGGCATCTTCCTTCGAGAACCTGTGGGCTCAGCTATACCCAAAGAGATGCACTGGTGCTGAGTATGCCCGACTCACAGTACCAGAGTAACACTGGGTTACTTCCCCACATCCCTCTCTTTTGAGCCACTTAGCACGTGAGGAGATTCCCGCTCCCTTGCGGCCTGCATACGTGCACCAGCATCGAGGACTCGCTAATGACATTGGTTGTCATTCATATTTTGCACCTCGGCTCTAGACAGGTGAGTGTGCTTGTACATGCCATGCTTTCCGCCAGATTTCAGAAAGCATTCCCCTACATACGTGTTGGAGACGACTACACAAAGATGCATGTCTGTACCCTGGCCTTTTGCATTGGTGAGGATGCGTCAAAAATATCAATTATGCTTGAGCAGTCTAGCTAAAAGCTGCATTCATTTCTGTACAGACGGGGACGTATCTGGACCTCCAGTCTAAGAGTGAAACGAGTACGTAACAGGTCATTTGAGAATAAGAAAGGCTACACATTCCAGTAAACAGAGTAACAAGAGTAATTAACCCATTAACCTGTAACACTGCTGCGACTCTAATGATTCTGTAAAACAAGTGCAACGCTACTCCGAACAATGGAGAGCTTAATCAACAGTTTCTAGTCCACAGGCATGGACAGCAATGACATCAGCTGGGGAGAATAAACAGTCCGCTTTAGAGAAACTATTCCCTGAAAACACAGATCTCCAGTGTCTTTCACCTGGTTTTTAAAACCGAGAAAGGTGCCCAGTAGAAGAACTGCAGAGAAGTTGTGTTTGAGTAGCAATGAGGAGCTTACAGTGCATTTTGATCATGCAACAATATGTTTTCCTTTCATAAGTCTCATTCCTCCAAACAGCTGCATGAAAAGTGAGTAAAAATCAGGTATTTACAGCCCTGTGTACCTGCTAGTGCACTCTGGCACTATGTACCAGGAGGAATTAAGTAAACTCCACATTGTCCTTCACACAGAGACAGCCTACATTGTCTCCATACACAAGACTTTGCCAGGGCTCTGTCTTTCACCCAGCCCAGCTGCACCAACACTCCCTCCATCTTTACCAGTAGTCAGGACCAGTCGTGTTACAGGAACATGTTCACCACAGGATCATGGGAAAGAACAGCCCAGTTCCCCTGGCAAATGCTCGGCAGCAGATGTGGTTAACTGGCATCCCACTGGAGAGCTACAGCTCTACTTCCTCTCTGTAACTACAGCGGGGTTCCTATCACAGTGCTTCATGGGAAAAGTGGTGTGCTTGCAGCAAACCTTTGTATCCAGTGACATGGATTCGCGGGTGGATTATTCAGGGTTTGCAGAGAGATGTTTTCTATCCCAGAGCAGGAGACAGCACTTCAGGAAAGTTTCTCTGCCTCACTGCAAACAGATTGATTCTGGGGTGGATATTGACATCTGAAAGTGTTACTGTTCCATGGATGAATCCTGAATGACACCCAACCCTACACTAGTTAGGCGGACTAGGGCTCTACAGCCAGAATGGGATGCTCTTGAGGTCAGTACAACCCCAACTGGCACAGAAAAGGCAGATAAAAGGCAATTGTTCACTGCCTCTTAATACAATACAAGAGCTGGAGAGCATCAAATGAGGCCAGGAGGTGGTAGACTGAAACAAAGGAACTTCATGTGACAGCAAGTGAACTGTGAAAGTCCTTCCTACGAGACGTTGAGGATAAGAAAACTGCATGGGTTTTACAAGCAACCAAGCTCATGGAAGATAAAAATTAACCAAGGACTATTAAATACATTTATAGCACCTCTGGTTCAGACACTGCATGCCACGAGGGGCAAGGGGGAGGATTTCTGATGAACTATCACAACATATTTGCCCTCCTATGACTCTGCCTTCTGAGGTTTTGCATTTGGCTTCCGGTGAGATGGCACAACACAGCCCAAACCAAGCTGAGCTTCGCAGCAGGTCTACTGCGCCTCCCTCCATCAGCGAGCCTGCTCAAAAAAAGGCCAAGTAGCTTTTCAACTCCAAACCAGTTTTATCAGAATGAAAAACTAGAACCTGTGGAAAGTCCAAGGTAGTGACAGAAGATGATCCAACGGGATGCGGTTTAACAAG